TTTTTTTTTTGATGTTAAATAGTAATGCTGCTGTAACTTTACTATTTATTACCTTTTTCTATGTGAAATAAAAACATTTCTTATGTCACCTATATTTTCAAATGCATCGAGCAAAATCGAGCAAAACACGAGCAAAATCTATGTATCAGTAGAATTTGTATATAGACTGGTTGACCGCTATTTGAAATCATTGGAAACTGATTTTTGTTTTATGGCAAAAAAGAACATCACTGTTCAATGAGAGCTCCTTTGCAGTTTCTGAAATATAGCCTTCCAAGAAATATAGTGCAGTTTTGGACGTTTTAAATGACATGTTGTATAGTCCATAAGCGTAGCTAAAGATCGTTCTCCGATATCATTATATAAATCTGTATTATGCAACAGAAAATTTAACTTTTTTCACCACACACTTAACTATAATAACCGTTTAATTTAATCCAAAACATTGAGCCGTTAGTGGATAGCAGTTATGCGAAAGAAAAAAAGGAGAAAGAAAACGCTGCTTTAGTGACAATAAGTATAGGAAGAAAATGACAGTAGTGGATTAGTTAAGTACAAAAGTTTCCCTACCGATTATCATTTAATGGGTGTTCAATTTTTGAAGTTAATACTTCCAAAAGAAGGATATTTGTAAATAAAGATTAAAAAGTAGGAAATAAAAATGATAATTGTTAGCAACAAATGTTCTTCATAAACTTTGTTAATATTAACGGTAAATTGTTCATTAGTTTATTCTATTTGGTAGTTTTTTTAAAGGTATTTTCTTTCTGCTTTTCTTTTCTTCACATCTATTATGGTTATTGATTTATAATCCCATGTAAAAGTTTAACTTTTTTTTTTTTTTTGTAAATTAAAAGTCGTCATTTGGCAAAATTCTATTTTTGATCCTCTTTTACCACTGTCAACATTGCCACCGCGGTTGCTGCTACCGATTTTTCAGCTGCTATAGACGTCAATGGCAACGATAACAGTGTCTCTGCTATGGGTTATTCCGTCTTTTTTTTTTTTCAAGATATTTTTAGTGCAATGGAAGTGAAGAAACTTTTAAAATTTTTTGTTTCTGTTGTTATCAGTGTATTCGTTTATTATTTTTTTTTTAATTATATTTTTACCAATATTTTATGCTACAGAAAAAAGTGTTGTTGTTGTTGTTGTTCCTTCTTTTATTATTTAAAAAAAAACATCAATAGATTTCTTATTTTCGGTGCTATTGATGATAACAGTAATAAATCTTTTTCAAGGTTATATTCCTGTTGATTTTTCTTTTATCATTTTTGTTAATTCAATTTTCAGTAGTGTTTCTAACTTAACTGACTGGTTACTCACACTGTTCTTTAAATGTTTTTTTTTTTTCTACTAAACTGATAAATTTGATGTTCAGTTAATTGAAACTTTGGGGAACAGTTTAGGCTGGAGCATTAAATACAACAGCTATTCTACATTGTTCAACTGAACATTCTTTCCTCTCCTTCATTTTTCAAAACCACTATGTATCTGCGAAAATTTTTTTGCCCGATGATAAAATGTATTTTTCAGTGCAATAACGATAATATTTAAAGAATCATTTAGAGAAGGCGATGAAAGATGATGACGATGAGGAGCAATGATATGGCAGCAAGAAGCCGTAAATGAATTAAATTTTAAAATTGTTAAGGTTATTTGTGGACATTTTTTGTGGACTTATTTGTGGACAATGGACTTTTTCTAATTATTAATACTATGTAAAACTTGGTTTTTGAACAGGTTTTTGGTATTTGCGCTATATACCTTCTCGTGGTTTTGCTTCTGATCAAACTGTTGAGAAGCTCTGCTTAGCACTACTTAGATCACAACTTGCCAAATTTATCTGCCTTCTGGCATCTGCGCCAATAAAAAATTTTCAAACTAAATATAAACTTGATCTGATTATTTTATCAAAAGAAATCTATCTTCCTTTGGGCAGCTAATTAAATAAAGTACCACGAAAGATACAT